TCTTGTTTTTATTTAATTAGTTTTAACATAACGACGCTTATAGGAGAGTTAGTAGGCATGCATGTGTATATTATGTTTATTAAGAGAGTGAGCCTGACAACGCCCGAGGCCGTGATCGAATAAATGAAAGGAAGGAGATGAGATGTCTCAGCTCTATGATTCTGAATCAAACTGAGAGAATGAAACAAAAGCTTAATTCGGAAATAACCCGATGCTTGACACACAAAAATGTAAGGTGTTAGAAACAATTTCTTAATTTATTTTTGGAAACATGTTTCTTAATTTATTTTAGGAAACACATCCTAGTTGTCTTGGGGTTAGGATTTACTTCTCTATAAATACAAGCTCTCTCCCTTGTAATCAGTGTGTATGGATCCGAAAATAGCAATAATATTCCTGGCTTGGTAGCGCCCCCAGACGTAGTCATTCGTGGCGAACTGGGTTACCAAATTTCGTGTGTTCTTCATTATTGTTTTTCGTGTGCGTGAATTTAATTCCTAACAATTGGTATGAGAGCCCTAGGTTCGAAGGGAGATCTCACGATGGCAGACAATTTGAAGACACCGGTGATGCAGTTTGACGGAACGGATTACGGATTCTAGAAGTTGCAGATCGAAGATTACCTGTACGGTAAAGATCTGTATCAACCTCTGGATGATAAGCCGGAAGACATGAAGGAGAGCGATTGGAAGTTGCTGGACAGAAAAGCGATGAGCGTGGTTCGATTATCGTTGTCCAGAAACATTGCCCTACACACCGTCAAAGCAAAAACGACGAAGGAGATGTTGCAGATTTTGTCGGATATGTACGAGAAACCTTCCGCTGTGAACAAAGTTCATCTGATGAGGCGTCTTTTTAACCTGAAGATGTCAGAAGGTATGGGAGTGGTGGATTATCTCAACGAGTTCAATGTGATCACCACACAGTTGAGCGCAGTTGAGATAAAATTCGACGACGAAATTCATGCTCTTATTCTGCTGTCTTCTCTCCCAGAAAGCTGGAACGGAACAGTGACTGCAGTCAGCGCTTCGGCAGGGAAAGAGAAACTGAAATTCGATGAAGTCAGAAATCTGGTGGTCAGCGAAGAAATTCGCAGGAAGGAATCAGGTCTGGCTTCTGGATCAGTGTTGAGTACAGAGAACCGGGGCAGAATGAAGTCGAAGTCCAAGTCAAATCGGGATAGATCAAGATCCAAATCCAAGTCAAACAGCAATGGCAAAAAGGACAGAAGTCAAATCAAGTGCTGGAATTGTGAGGAGTATGGACACTTCAATAGCCAGTGCAAGGAGCATATCAAGGATCAGAAGGAGAAGACATCTGCCAATGCAGCGGCAGAATCATCAGGTGATGATCTCCTGATCTTGAGCGTGAGCAGTCCGTTGGAGTCATGGGTTCTGGATTCTGGAGCCTCGTTCCATTCATGTGGTAATTCTGAATGATGGAACAATATACTCCTGGCAATTTTGGAGAGGTGTATCTTGCTGATGATGAGCCTCTTAAAATTGTCTGGAAGGGGACAGTCCACGTGAAGACTCTGAACGGATGCATGCTGAAACTGAATGGCGTCCGACACATTCCTGGTTTGAGGAGGAATCTTCTTTCAATTGGGTAGCTGGATGAGGAAGGTTATGGAGTTACATTCGGCAGCAGAAATTGGAAGATCACCAAGGGAGCCTTGCTGGTTGCTAAAGGGAAGGAGGGTACGTTGTACATGACAACGAACTCAAAGGACTGCATCGATGTTGCTGCCGCTGCAACAAACGATGTGAATTTATGGCACTGTCGGCTCGGTCACATGAGCGAAAAGGGAATGAAGGAGCTGTGCTCGAAGGGCAAACTGCCCCGCCTGAAGACTGTTGAGGTTGGCTTATGCGAGGACTGCATATTCGGGAAGCAGAAACGTGTCAGTTTCTCAAAGGAAAGGCAAGCTATCAAACCGGAGAGGTTGGAACTAGTTCACACCGACCTCTGGGGACCTGCAGAAGTTACATCCTTAGGAGGGTCTGCTTACTACATGACCTTCATTGATGATGCCACAAGAAAGGTATGGGTTTATTTTATCAAAAATAAATCTGATGCCTTTGATGCTTTCAAGAAGTGGAAAGCTCGAGTTGAGACAGAGACAGGTCTGAAGTTGAAGTGCCTTCGGTCAGATAATGAAGGTGAGTCTGAACTGCATGAGTTCAAGAATTTTTGTGCTGAGAACGGGGTTCGTATGGAGAAGACAACTAAGGGGACTCCGCAGCATAATGGCGTTGCTGAACGCATGAACAGAACACTAAATGAGCGAGCAAGATGCATGAGGTTGAAGAGTGGCTTACCGAAGATGTTTTGGGCGGATGCAGTAAACACCGCGGCTTTTCTCATCAACAGAAGTCCAACGATCTCATTGGAGAATGGCATTCCTGAAGAAAGGTGGACGGGTAAGGAGGTCAATCTGTCCTATCTCCGCATATTTAGTTGTGTTGCTTATGTTCATATCAGTTCCGTTGACCGAAGCAAGCTAGACGCTACATCTGTCAAGTGTACATTCGTTGGCTATGGTGGTGATGACTATGGATACAGATTCTGGGATGATCAAAATAGGAAGATTATTCGTAGTCGAGATGTGGTATTCAACGAGCAGGTTATGTACAAGGACAGATTGAGTGCATCCGATTCTGAGCAAGAAAGTCCGAAGATCATAGAGTTGGATATCTCTAATTCGGGTGGGAGCAAGCAGGATCAAAATGAAGAGTTAAGCAGTGATGAGGATCCATCAACCCCGCCAAGGCAGCGGCCTGCAAGAAACCGGAGAGCACCAAATAGGTATTCGCCCTCTAATTTCTATTTGTTGCTTACTGATGGTGGTGAACCGGAATCCTATGCAGAGGCAGTTCGGGTTGATGACAAGGGAAAATGGAAACTTGCAATGGATGATGAGATGACATCTCTCACATCCAATGATACAACGAGGTTAGTTGAGCTACCGAGAGGAAAGAAGGCTTTGCACTGCAAGTGGGTCTACCGCATCAAGAAGGAGGCAGATGGTAGCAAACGCTACAAAGCTAGGCTGGTTGTGAAGGGATTCGAGCAGCGGTATGGTATTGATTACACCGACATATTCTCTCCAGTTGTGAAACTTACTACTATTCGGTTAGTGTTGGGGTTAGTTGCTGCAGAGAATTTGTTGTTACATCAGATGGATGTGAAGACTGCATTCCTTCATGGTGATCTGGATGATGAGATTTACATGGTGAAACCGGAGGGCTATGTGGCGGAAGGCAGTGAGAATCTCGTATGTAAACTAGTGAAGAGCTAATACGGGTTGAAGCAAGCACCAAAGCAGTGGTACAAGAAATTTGATGGTTTCATGCGTGAAATCAGTTTCTTGAGATGTCACACTGACAATTGCTGCTACTACAAGAAGACCGAGAACTGTTATCTTATCTTGCTATTATATGTAGATGACATGTTGATTGCAGGAGCTAGTTCAAGGGAGATTGAGAAGCTAAAGAAACAGTTGTCAGAACGTTTTTCCATGAAGGATCTTGGAGAAGCAAAGCAGATTTTGGGCATGCGAATTGAGAGAGATAAGGCAGCGGGCAAATTGTATCTTTCACAGGTAGAATACATTCAGAAGGTCTTGGAAAGATTCAGAATGAAAGATGCAAAGGCAGCAAGTGTACCGTTGGGTAGTCACTTCAAGCTTAGCAAGGAAGACTCACCGAAGAACAAGGAGGAGCGTGCTCAAATGCAGAATGTCTCATACGCATCGGCAATTGGAAGCATAATGTACGCGATGTCGTGCACAACGCCAGATATTGCACATGCAGTGGGAGTAGTGAGCAGATTCATGGGAGACCCCTGGAAAGAACACTAGGAAGCTGTGAAGTGGGATCATGAAGTATTTGAAAGGTACTGCTTCTAATGCTTTGTGTTTTGATGGGAAGAATGTAAAGCTACTGGGACATGTTGATGCAGACCTGACATCGAATGACTCGGATGGATCGAGGAGCACCACCGGGTATGTTTTTACATTTAGTGGAACGGTAGTTTCCTGGCTTTCGCAGCTGCAGAAGATTGTTGCATTATCTACCACTGAAGCTGAATATGTGGCCATTACGGAGGCAAGTAAGGAGATGGTGTGGCTTCAGAATTTACTTGGGGATCTTGGGAAGGAGTACAAGAATAGCATTCTTTACAGTGACAGTCAAAGTGCTATCTTCTTGGCCAACAACTCAGCTTTTCACAAGAGAACCAAACACATTCGGTTGAAGTATCACTACACCCGTCATCTTCTGGAGATAGAGGCATTGCAGCTTGTGAAGATCCGTGGGAGTGAGAATCCAGCAGACATGTACACTAAGGCGGTAACCTTGAAGAAATTGAAGCTTTGCATAGCTCCAATTGGCCTGGGTACTTGAAGATGAAGGTCGGCGCTACCATGCTTACAAGGGAGGTTTGAAGAAGACAGTCTCTAGGTGGGAGATTGTAAGGTGTTAGAGACAGTTTCATAATTTATTTTTGGAAACACGTTTCTTAATTTATTTTAGGAAACACATCCTAGTTGCCTTGGGGTTAGGATTTACTTCTCTATAAATACAAGCTTTCTCCGAAAATAGCAATAATATTCCTGGCTAATTGGTAGCGCCCCCAGACATAGTCATTCGTGGCAAACTGGGTTACCAAATTTCGTGTGTTCTTCCAGGGGCGGATCCAGGATTCCGGATTGCCCTGGGCTGAAAAGAAATTATAGTAGACTTCAACATTAGCGGGGTGGGCTAAATATGAAAATTTTAAAAATTTTCACAAACTAAATTGAAAAAAGTTTAAGTTGTCCTGGGCTTCAGCCCACCATAGCCTATACGTAGATCCTCCCCTGTGTTCTTCATTATTGGTTTTTCGTGTGCGTGAATTTAATTCCTAACAAAAAAATTCCAAGAAACCAACCGATGACCCCTATATATGGCTACCGGTGGATTCAGTTGTTTGGTTTTGGCCCAAAACTAGATACCAAC